GGGCTGTGGACACGCCGCCGTAAGTTCGAAATACAGAGTTGATTTTGCAATGGCTTTAGCCACCGTTTCGTCGGCCTCGAACGCAACGTAGAGGTATCGGAACCAAGTAGACGTTTTGGGGGTGCTCAAGCGAGCCTGGGCTGAGAATCTGGTGAAGCCGTACTGGTTGGCGATTCCGAAAGCAAGCGCCAGGTCCTCATGATCGTACTCCCAAATTCTCTGGGAGCGGAATACTCTTCGCTTCCTATCATAGGCGTCAGGCCAGGATTTTGTCTCTTTCACCTTGAGCAACACCACCCGCAAGCCGTTTGACAGCGCCCCAGGCATATCTCTTCGCACGGCTTGCGTACGACCTTTCCAAGCATCCTCGTCTTGTCTGATATCTGAATCCATGTCTTCAAAGTCGCGGAAGAATTCAGAGTGCTCTAGGAGGAATTCTTTGTTGACATAGAAGCCAACGTCGTCGTCGGTGACTAGCAGAAAGTCGTCGTTCGTCTGGACGGAGAAATCGGGATGAATGGACGAGGGAAGAGTATCAGGGGTTCGATCGGTGGGGGGAGACGATACAACGTCCCGAGTGACCTCTAATGACTGTCAGCGGTCTAACGTTCATGGACGCGATGGACGCACCCGTGAGCCTATCCGCACCCGCAGAACCCGCCGCGACCGAGCCGGGTGTAGACGAAAAAGACAGTGCTCGATGATCGCCATCGTCATGAGTACGCGAAGCGTCGGTGTCTACTTCGCAACATCAGTGTAAGGCCGGAAGACATTTGTATGATTCACTCACCCTGGGCGTCCTTCACGTCGAGATGATTGAGCGACTTGGTCAATTCTGCGTCGTCGCCTGACATGCCGTCGCGTTGTGAGGAATTCGGATTATATATGCCGATGGTAGGAAGGTGGTGGACTAGGGAAGTGAGATGGATATTTAGATCGATCGGTTGACGAAAATACAGCGAGAGAGTGAAAGTATATGATACGAGCGGAAACGATAGATAAGCGGCGCACTACCATTCTCTTACGTGAAACTTTCCGTTGGAAGACGACCACGCAGTCAAGCTGGAACTCGAATATAGTGGGCGTCCTGTTGCACAGTACGTGCATTACGCCTTCGTCAAGTCTGTATGTGCTGTAAATAAACGACGTTGAGTGATGAAGAGCAGCCTCAAGGCTGATGGTATCAAAAGCCCTCTGTCGTTTTATTCAACGAGACTCTGTCACATTTGCAATTGAAGTCGAGTACAAATACATTCGAAAACTGCATACACTCATGAGAGACCCCTTCATCTGTTACTGCCAGTGCGCTGACAAACTGACCCACAGCGTCTTGGAAGATCGTAATACAGATTGGCGGCACTCAACACACTTTACATCGATGTTGATTTCGGCTTCGATTTCGTCCCACAACAGCTGGTCCCGGCCTTCCGTGCACCTGCAGGTGAGACAGTGTTGAAAAACGTCCCCGCCCGACCTGCCAGCAGTGTCCCACCAATAGCATGCGCTTCTCTTACAAGAACACTTTACCCCGCCTAGATCTGCTCTTCTTTCATCTTCGAAAGCGGCTTGCGCCTGCTGTAAAAAATCGTGATTGTCAGAACGAAGAGGCCTTAAGGAAGGAGGGGACGTTTTGGAATGTGAGAGTCTCGATTTTGATCGCTGAGGATGCAGCTCTTCTGATAGGGCACTTCAGTTGGCTTTGCAGCTGGAGAAGCGGGGCTCACTATTCTCCGTCCAAGAGAGACCCCATATATCACATCCATCTTGTACACACTGCCACAAACATTTCGACTGTGCTTTGTTTCAGCTTCTAAGTCTTGTAGAGCTTTGAGATATCAAGAGCATAATGATGGCGAGAGAGAGTGAGGAGAGTGAAAGACTCTGCGTGCCGGGCGTAGCGATGTCGCGGTAGGCGTCAAAGACGTCGAGAATGAGCCCCGGCGGGAGAGGAAGGTGATGGAGGGAGTCAATGGATTGCTTCGGCATGACATAAGTAAACGCTATAGCTGCTGAGAAGGGACAACACAAAGAGTGACGATTGACGCCTAGATTATCACCGACGCGACGAACGCATCAACAAACAGCGCCACAGGTTGACGGACCAGCAGCGACGGACAATGCGATGCGAGGAGGGCACGATCCCGCAACGTGTGAATATTGTCCGGTTGTAAATCAGTGGAGAGACTCCATAAGATGTACAGTACTCTACATACCACAGCTCATAGACCGTGTTTTCACAGGATACAATATCACTACATAATACCATGCAATCACTCAAACAACATTTCCTTGCTCTCACGTGGAGGCCCTAACATACACCTCCATTCGTACCCTGCCTATCTCTGTATCTCAAACATCATGGCCCGCTAGGCTCAACAACAGTAACTTGAAGTGACGATTTACCCCAGCTATCAGACATGACTCGTCAGCTGCACATCCTTCTTCTGGACTCTTTCATTCGAGACGCACCTCTTGATCTTGCTCTCAACCTGATCAATCTGCTCCAACCTATGCTTCCTCTTCTTGAAAAGGGTAGCTCTTTCCCCTACCACCGCTGTCCTATACTCCAACGTCACATGCTTGACATGCGGCAGCCTCCTGCCAAGCACCCCGAGCCAGTTCAGTGCAAGAGGTGAGATACGATGAAAAGGCCTCGACGGCATGACGAACATCAGCCTCTCTGCCCCATAATGCGTATACCCATTCCTCGGCCCATCCAACACGTAGCTCACCATCCTCATCTCCCCTCCTCCAAGCGTCTGTTCTTCAAACACAACCGTCTTGGCGCCGTGTAAAAGCCGGACAGGATGAGGCAAGGAAGGATGGAGTTCCCACAAGTACCAGCCAGAGGACCCGGGGATGCTCAAGAGCTCTGAGATCTTGGCGAAGCAGATGGCGTTCTGGAATATGAGGGTGTTGATGTTGAAGCCTGTTAAAGTGCATTTGATGGGGCAAAGGAGGTTCCTGACAATCTCGTCCTCATCCACAACATGCTCCATGCTGCGCTTAGCAGCCAAGAGCTGAATCGCATGGAAAGCCCATCTCATCCACATATCCAGAAACGTATCCGCCATGCCCTCCTTGACTTTGGCGTCCCGGTAAAGTCTGCGGATGTTGAGGGCATAGTGATATCGGGAAAGAGTGAGGAGCGTGAGGAACTCGGGTGTGCCGGGGCGGGTGATGGCGGTGTAGATGTCAAAGATTTTGAGAGCGAGCTCGGTTGGGAGAGGGAGGCGATGGAGAGGTGCGTCGGGTCGCTGCATCGACATGATGATGGTGTTGGATTCTGGAGTTCAGTACCCAGGACGCTGCGAGTGGTATAGTATTATCAGAAGCAATGAAGTAGACGCAATAAAGTGATACTTGTCTGATAATGAGCATCAGCGAATTGGGGTCGCGTCTTGGAAAATAGGGTTTTGAGGTTTTCCTTGGAAACCGCGGCAGGGTTTGGGCCATTATGGGTTTTCAAGGCGCGTCCCAGCTTGAAATCGTTTTCAAGTCCATTCCAACAACCGTATTACATTCTTTTGGCCTTGATTGAATTGTCCTACCCTTGGTAATCCCACTTGGCTAGATGTACACACATACAGAAGTACCGACGTACGTACTACGCACGTGTACGTACGTCAGTCGGTATGACTAGATACGGTACGGACGTTACGACAGTCCCGCCTGCAGCCGACATCGCAGCACTCATCCTTCTCACAACGACGACCGTCTTGCCGCTGACAACGAAGGCCTCGGTATAGTTAGATTGTTCATGCACACGGCTTACTCTTGCTTATGACTATCTCGACTCATGAAGTCCGTCCGCGGCAGTTCTGCCCAACCCTATTGCCCCTTCCTCAGTAGTCCCTCTCATTCCCCTCGTCAAAAAACACCATGGTGTCGCCTTCATCGTCATCCTCGTCATCCTCATTATCCTCGTCATCTCCTTGCCCGCTCATGGCATCGTCGTCGCCCCACATCTCCTGATCGTCATCAATTTCCTCACTATTCATCGCATCGTCGTTGCTGTCGGGTCCATCGACATCCTCGCCTGCATCATCTCCATCTCGGGCGCCATGGTCCACCTCATCTGCCTCCTCTTCCGTTCTGCCTTGCTCGTTGCCAACTCGGGTCAGCACCGAGTCGGTGTCCGGGGCGGGAGGCGTCCCCCTCCAACCTTCGCCACCTTCAAGGCCTTTGTGGGAGCAAGGAACATGTGGGAAGAATATCTGACCAGTATGTCCTGGTCCGGTATCGCATCCGCATATCGGCATCCACAAAGCTGCCGATACCGTCAGCTGCGCTCTGTCCCTTCACGTCCACAATACATGAGCTTCACTTACAAGTTGACCGACCAACAAGACACAGGACCAGGCTCTGTCTCTTCGCCAGAGCTAACCACAGGAATCAGGTGGCAGCCTCGTATGATCATAGATGGGTCGATCCACGTATACACCAGTACTCTTTTGGGCCGCGCTCGCACCCTCGGAAGGCGGCGGGCCTCGAAACCCCAGACCCACTCCTTATCGAGGTCAAGCTCTTCCACCAGAGCGATCGGCATGAGCTGGTACTTGGGGATATCCTCCTTCTTGCTTTTCACAAACACATTCGCATTGTACAAGCCCACAACACGAGCGTACGCGAAAGGATGGGAGGAAGGCGAAGACGCAGGGAGGAGGACAGCTGGGTGAGTGTCACTTGATGAGGTCTGACCGCACCTGTCGTTCATGTGCTGTGTAGCGCATGCACAGCTTCTGGTGTTGATACAGGGTCCGTTTCTGGATTGAGACTCTGTCCACAAGGTCCGCAACACTATGATCCGCCCAATCATCGGGCACTAGCCGTTGCAGGAAGTGTCTCAGGAGCTTGACCTGTGTCCCCTTTGTCAACCCTATGAGCGTGGCGTTCTCAATTGAGCTGTCGCTGTCAAGGAAGCTCACGTTGTATTGAGTCAGTGAGTCCAGAGGCACCTTTGTACCTTGCCCAGATGCGATATCCATTCCTGACGCCATCTGTGACTTCTCCTCCCTTCCTCCCTTGATGGTCCAAGCTAGACTGCGTATCCTGGCGTCTCGCGATACGATTTGGCCGATTGAATATCCTTGTCTTTGCCTTTGTTGGTGGCGTGAAAGGCTGACTTCGCTTTCTTGTGTTGATACTCGCCCTATAAACGTTGTGAAAGATGTTAGCACCTTGCGCACCTTATGGGCAGGCCTGAAATGACAATGAGACATGCGTACGAGAGCAGTAGTATAGCTGATAGTCGCTCCCAGCATCGTGATATGTCGCCGATTATTGCCCGTAATGTGCACCTTTATCGTGCTCAGGTTGAAAGGCTGCATCTTGGGGCCTTGACGAGGGGGCTGCCTGGTTTTGGAAGAGGAGGGATCGGCGGCGGCAGCTTCGTCGAGCTCGTCTGGGGATTCATCGGTTTGCGTGACGGGTATAGGGGGCTCTGCTTAATGGAAGAGGGATGAAAACCCGTACTAGTTGAGAGAGATCATATGGATCTTTGGCATTGTATGGCGAGCGGGAAAGATCCGAAGGTGTCGCACTATGGAAAATCGCTTGTTGAATGACGACCACATCTCAGGGGTGTAGTAGCGAGCCTGCCGCCACTCTCCATAAGCTGTCACACCTCGTATTTGCCTCGTATCGCCGAAGGCCCGTCCTCGTGGTTTATCAGGGCCTATGTGATAGACACTTTCTTTCCCGTTCTCCCTAGTTTTCTCTTGTGTGTTGCTCATGTTGAGTGATGAACAGCTACCGGCCTGGCGGTATCCAAGATCTCGCTTGTGTTCATGTCTCTCATGATGCCATTTTTGAACCACTATTCCGCGGATTCTGGTCACAACTGCATTCGAAAGCTACTTACTGTGTTGCATGGATCTCAACCCCCAGCAACAATCCCGCAACGATCACTGCAACAATTACTGCCAAAGAGCGGCTAAATCGTCCCACAAGAGTTTGAAAGATCGTATAACGGAATCCCTGCAATCCAGACAATCTACAGAGTCTCGGATTGACATGTTGATATC